TTTATTTTCCTTCGTCCCATCCCTCTCCCCCCCCCACCCTTTTTTTTTTTTTTTTTCCCTTCCTATCTGAATTGTCTGTGGTGTGTATATGTCACCACGAAATGTATCTTTATGTATTAGACATCCGTCGACTTTCTTTTTCTCCTCTTTTAAATCCACCCCACCCACATCTCCAAAAATTTCTCTGTCACTCATCCTCATCCTTACACTTTCTCTAAATTCTGTTTTGATTTCCGGAGTTGTTTTTTTTCTGTTTTCATTTTGAATTTGTAGGTCTGATGATTTGGATCGTATTTACGATTCCAATGGAATAAATTATGACCATGGAATATTAGTATTTAAGCCTTTTTTTTTTATATATATATATATATATATATATATATATATATATATATATATATATATATATGCATGTTTCATTAAAAAAACGACAGACAAGGTACTACTGTTGAGCTTTTTATTTAATTTTTCTTGTGTTCTGACAAGAGCTTTTCTGGACAAAGAGTGTAAGAACTGTCCGAATGTTCTGTGTTTCCGAGCGATTTCGGCTATACCTTTAGCCATTATCAAGGATGGTTCAATTATCATCTTAGTAGAGTGTGTGTTCTATGTATATTCAGTGTGTGGTAGTGATGTTTTAGTTTCCGAATACGGTTAGCACATTGTGGTGATATATATATATATAATTGAAACTTAGAACATTATTAATGAAACCTAGAGGCCCAATTATCGCAGACATTATCTGCGTATTTCATTAAGAGCATAAGAACAAGACCATCTAATGACATATCATGGCATCACTCTTGTACTTGAAGAAGTGTATTCATTTGAAATAATTCACCATAGAAATTGCGACCATTAGACAAATATTATTTGAGTATATCATCAAACGGATTAAGGTAACTCTTTCCTATTCTTCATGTTTCTATCACATTTGTTCTTAATTATCACACATTGTGATAATCTTCCAAAAATGGTGAAATGTTGTAAACACCCGAACGTGCATTTACTGTTGATGTTCGATCGATTAAAGCACTTTCTATACATTTTCGTTAATTGCCATCTCTTTTAATCAGAATCATAACGGCGAGCAACATATCCATTAAGTGTTTTGTAAAAGATCCATTTTCTGTTTATGTAATTATTCTCAAAATATGTACTATTATCACAATGTGGTACTATTAAAATACGCGTGAGGAAAACATAAATAAAATAAAAAATGGCGACAATTTAACCATGGCACCATATATATATATATATATACATATATTTTATATATATATATAAATATATATATATATATATGGAGATACATTTTTAAATTGATAATTTAATTTAAATTGAAATATATTACGCTTTAATAATCATTATTGATGATAAAATATTTAAATTGGAAACATTTTTGATATTGAGGTAGGTGTTATACATGAATTTACCTGTGTATATTGGTACATGGGCACCTGTATGAGTGATTGCACATATAAAGGAACGTATATATATGTAAGATTTGCATGGGTGTGTATACAGTATATGACAGAGCAAGATCTTTAATATTACTTTCAAATATTTACCCCATATTAACTAAAATTTAAGTAAAAGAGATTACCTATCTAGAAACAGCGACGAGTTAAATTCATGAACAAAATTCAAACGGATAGAGATGTTAACTTAATAATTAATAATAATTTTTTTTTAAAAAGATAAAAAAGATTACTAGAAGTAAACTTATATTTTAAAATAAAATTTTATTTTTTTAATGTAATTTCTATGAATATTTTTCTCATAGAAAATCCCCAAAGTTTTTACAAAATTTAAATCACTAACAAACATCAAATTAAATTCTTTGTAGACAGTTTAAATATTCAAATTTATATCAAACATTATAATCTTTATGAACCCCCAAAATAACACTTTCAAAGTAAAACAAAATAACAGCTTCTGTTTCTAGCCTGTTTTTTTTTTACCAAAGAAAATTAGTGATACCTTCTCTCATGACTTCCTTCTCTCTTTTTCTCTTTATGTGTTTATTCTCCTCTACCCCTTCGATATCAATATATAACTTCCGTTAAGTTAACCGTTTAAATGTGTCAATGATTGGACCTCCTCAAATGAAATTGAGTATGAAAGTATAGAAATTTTAAATTACATCTAACTCACTCATGTCTTCTCTCTCCCCTCACTTCCTCACTTCGTTAATTTACATATGCTTACTACGGCCCGTCAAAAATGTGTAAATTTCTTTTCATTTTTTGTTTCAACCTTTGGAAGTAAAGTCTGATGATCCGCAGTCCTTTTAAAAGGGCTGTGGTGAAATAATTTATTACATGGAACCTTAAAGTGGTCTGTTTTATTTAAATTATTTGCTCTGGATTTTATTGACCTCACTGGATTTTATCCTCCTTGGGTTTACCCATACGTATTACCTAGTTTTCCATAAACTATATATATATATATATATATATATATATATATATATATTTAAAGTGTGTGTGTGTGTGTATAACGATTTCCCTGTAATGGAAGTAAAAAACAATCATTGCAAATAGAGGTCTAATTGTCCGGATCGCTGACAAAATCATTGTATTTCATTAAGAGCATAAGGACTATGGCATAAAATGTCACCATTCTTGTACCAGATGATGCAACTTAACTTTATTAGATTCCCCATATAAATTGCCTTTATCAAACAAATATTAAAGTTTTTTTGTTGTTTTTATTTTGTGATTTGAATTTGATTTGTGTGATGGAAACATAAAATAAAAAATGGCGGCAATTTACACATCGCTTATATTTATATATATATATATATATATATATATATATATATATATATATATATATTCATGAATTATTCACAAAAAACAAATGCAAAGGTTAATGATTTAATTGGCGAGAAATCCATTAATTGTTTGCGACGATGGATTTCTCGCCAATTAAATCATTAACCTTTGCATTTGTTTTTTGTGTGAATAATTCATGAATTTGTAAATTGATTGCACGTTTATCGTAATTAATATATATATATATATATATATATATATATATATATATAATGAGAAGCCACGTATACTTTCTTAATATGTATATATAGAAAAAGTTTCAAATTAAAATTATCTAGGGTTGAATAGGGACTTAGGTGTTTTAAATCTTTATAAATATTTCAATAGTTAAGCAATTTTTTTAGATATAGTAAAAAAAAAAAAATTAAAATATTTATGACAGTTAGATTTACGTTAAGAATATTCGAACACAGTGGCGTTCCATATCACGTGACGTCCGCGTCTCGCGAAGGACGCTACTTGCTAACAAACAGTAATTTTAATTTATTTGTAACAAACAGTTATTTCTGATGAAAAATTGAGGACAATTTGAAATATCAAATATATATATAAATAAATAAATACTTTCATAAAATAAAACATTATTATTTTTTAATTTGAAACTTTATATATATATATATATATATATATTACAGAAAAAAATTACCTCAACATAGGTATAGTCTATTTCAAACCGTTCTTCATACGGCTATCGTCAGCCTCTAAGCGCTTGTCTTGGAGTGTCGTTCTAAATTTATTTTCAAAGTCAGTTTTCTTCTAGTAGGCGCCTTGTTAATGAGAGTGGGTTTGTGTTAGCGATTGGTGGGGGCGTGAGGTATCTTATTGTGAGGGAAGCGGTCTAGGTTTGGAGTTTATTTATGGCCAGGATTTTCGTTTGTAGTTTAATATCTACGCCTACTATATGGTGTTTCTTCTAACGTCTCCGGAGTATGTTTTTTCTGGGATTCACAATAAATAGTTTTTGTACTGCTAATAGATTGGGGATTTAAACTTAAGTCCGTTAAGATAAATGTAAGTTAGTTGATTTATAGAATTATAGATCGTGGGTAACATTAGAGTACCCAATGGAATAACTCGTACTGTCTAACACACTTATATGCGCCCATTATCTTTATATATATATATATGTGTACATTTACATGATTATACATACACGCCACTATACGTACACATACCTCCCATATATACACATATATATATATATATATATATATATATATATATATATATATATATATATACACACACACACATATATATATATATATATATATATATATATATATATATATATATATATATATATTTTTTTTTTTTCAGCGAGTCGAGTCTTAACCGTAAAGCAATATAGAGGTGTTCGCTTTTGTGTCTGAAACGGCTCCCTGGCAGGGGAAGAACACCCACTGGATAGTAAGTACATGTCGACATTAATAGATAGTTTAGTTTAAATATTCTGTGTTGATGTCTTTCATCCTCGGACCAAAAACATTTAGCGATTCTCGGCCGGGAGTAGAAAAGAAGGAGAAAAAAACCCAGAAAGAATGAAAGTGAAAGAGAAATAGAAAAAAGAGGGAAAGTGAGAGAGAAAAGAGAGAGAGAGAGAGAGAGAGAGATAGATAGAGAGAGAGAGAGAGAAGAACTGAATAAAATCCGTGAGTTTGTATTTGGTATGTCCTGAAAAATATCGCGTATTATTTCGCTCGTAGTTTTTGCCAATATAATAGATTTATAATCAATAAGTTTCATCGAATCTGTACCAGAACATTTTGCCAAAGTACCCTCAATGTTAGTTTCTTACCTCCGCAAACGTATCACGGTTCCCAGTGATGCTATATATGTGAAAACCAGTCAAATAATGTCCAATTTTTACATCGGGCATAAGTGTGTCACTTGATATTTTAAAGTGAAATAATATATACATTAACAAAAGATTTGTTTGTATTTTAAATCCAGTTTGACAGAAAAAACGATCCTTTCCAACTTCAGAAACATCTATATATTTATCTATCTATCTCAGTCGCTTGACATCTATCTATCTATCTATCTATCTATCTATCTGTACCGATCTTCTGATTTTACAGACGAAAAATACATATATACTCGAATATGTGGGCTCCTTTGAAGGTGTAGACACCGCCTGATCCAGTGTGCATTTAACGCTCAGCTACAAAGAATCTCAAATAAAGGAAGGATTTTAAAAAATATAAATAATGAACACATAGAGATAGATAGATAATGAACAAACTGAGATAGATAGATAGATAGATAGATAGATAGATAGATACACATGAACATACGTAGATAGTTCGATAAATATGAAATGGTGTAGATAGATATATATATTGTTAGATATAGATATGAATTGACATAGATCGATATAAACGTACAAAGACACAAAATATATAGATATGAACAGACGTACATACATAGATAGATGAATATGAATAGACGTAGATATATAGCTAGATATGAACAGAGATAACTATATATATATATATATATATATATATATTGTGTATTTAGGCAGCATTTTTTCATTCATACACGTTTCATTAAATAGTATAGACAAGTGTTGTCTATTTATTTTATGTAAATTCTTTTCCTAACATCTGATAAGTTTAATAACATTTTCGTTGAACGAAGAAAGAATTTCAGATTATTGACCCATTTTTATTTTAATCCAATCTAAGCTTTCGGCTTACTTAAACCATTATCAAAGATGTCAATTACAACATATTAAGCAATATACGGACAAGACAGTGATGATAGTCTGTCAATGTTTACATAGATGAGTTCTAAGTAACGATACACATGCGCGTATGAGACGCTAGAAGCGAGAATCGCACCGCATCTCATGACGTCACACATGACCACACGAGAGTTAATTGGAGAAGTATGAAGTATGGAAAGCCGTTGGTTTAAACCAATGGCTTCTGTTACCAATTATAGACATTTAAGAATATTTGTAGAGATGCCATAATTGATTTTGTTTAGGTTGATGTATAATGCTTCAAGGAATTTTAGTTTTTGTCTATTGTTTTCATGTAGAAGTATAATTGTGTTTTCAACAAGTATTTTACGGAATTATGTGTGCGGGCAGGCATGTTGTTTTAAATGCCTAAAAATGTTAGAGTTTTCATTCAATTATGAAAAACTAGGTAATCCGTATGGGTAGACTCAAGGAAGATAAAATCCAGAGAGCTCAATCTAAATCCAGAGCTAATATATATATATATATATATATATATATATATATATATATATATATATATATATATTAGAATGAATTTACTTTATAACATGGAAGACTTCAAGCTTGTACGAAAATATAAGAATCTATTGATCAAGTAAGGAAATGATTTATTATCGAACTGTTTTTAAAATTGTTTCATCGTTCTGATATTTTGAAATCATTTTTGATTTGCTTTGTAACGTGGAGGACTTCAAGCTTGTATGAAGATATAAGAACGTATTGATCTCTGCGTATTCCAATATCAACGGAAGGGATTTCTTGAACTGTTTATATAAAATAGTTCAATCGACTTTTTTAATATTTTAATATTTGGAAATCATCTTCGAATTCGTTTTCACAACATCGCCCACGTGACGACGACGTGATCATATTTAAACGGAACGCTGATCTTATATAAAAATTTCAGTTATCTGTTTGGATTAGTTGTGCTCTTATGTCCATCGTCTTTTTGTGTTGAATTTTTATATGTTCTAATGTTAATTATGTTTAAATGAAAATGTCCTGAAGATGGTCTAAAATAGACCGAAACGTCCGACGTTGACTTTATATTAACATTAATACAGCATAATTGCATATTAAGATTTTTGTTTGTTTTTTCTGTATATTTTTCTTCATATATATATATATATATATATATATATATATATATATATATGATCAAACGAGAATAGATAGATCAAGAAAATTAATGTACCCTTGTACCGTTATCTTTAGGTTAGCTATCGCTTCAAGGCCCCATATTGACACTCTATGGCAATAATAGTTAATACGATACCTTGGGCTGCTATGGTTGCTGGCATTATATCACTGTGCTCTTCGAGAGATATTGTACGCAGAGAATGAGATGTGACATACAGATTGTTTATGCTTATTTGCAACGAACTCACACTTAATATGCAGTAATGATTCTGTACTGAGTAATGTCAAGAACTACATATATTTAAAAAAAAGTTAGGTAAACGCCTCAGTGCCATGATTTCCACCTTCCTGGCGGCTCTGGGTATTTAAGAAAGTCAATGGCAACCAGCAAGAGATTTATTCCTTGAAAAATAAAATATATCAATGGCCCTCATGGTAAAAAAGGGAACAGATTTGAAAATATCTTCATTGAGTATTTTGATTTTGTTTTGTTTTTTTTTTGTTTTTTTTATGGATTTTCAAATTCTTTGTGTGATATTTAAAACTGATATATATTCCGGATTTAAAAAAAAATTCTTTCAGTATCCAGGGTTCCCAAGCAGTCCCTCATCAAAGTATTGACATGATACGATGCTGCTTAACTTCGGTGAACGAGCGAAAAGTGGGGTTTTATAATCTATTTGAAGCACAAAATATTTTTGAGCAGCGAAACAGTTTCTTCGAAAAAAAAAAGAAAAATCAAAACACTTCGTGTTTTTCCGTGTTGTTCACGGAAACTACTCATCAAAGTACTAACATAATCACTCCGGTTTAAATGTCATTCATAGGTTGATATTAATATTTCTAACATATACGCTATCACCCGCATAGTAGAATTTTCAACCTGACTCAAGTATAGCTTGAAATTCTTCGCTAAAAATCTTAAATAGTACAGTCGACTCTTGATTTATCGATCAGTGATTTCAAGCATCTGATCTGGCAAAGCACTTTTGACCTGTTCATTCTCTCAGAGTACATTCTTTGAGAATTTGTTTTCTTTCGTGTTTGAGTTGCATTTTTTATATTATAAATTGCCGAAAAATGATGTTGCTTTTCTTCCATCTACACAGTTAGAATCAATAAAAGAAATACGTCAATTCTGAAGAACAATGTTTAAATGCAATGCCGACAGGGCAGATGGCAGAGTACAATCAAAATGCCGATTTTTTTAAAAGAATGAAGTTAGTAAAAGCTGAAGGCTTTAATGTAGTTAGCGAACAAAAAAAAATTCACTGAACATTTTCGTTAACCGAATATGTAGACAAACACACCCATATATGTAAACACACATGCATACGCATGGATATACACAAATAAGCACATACATGAACAAGTATATGTGGGGCGGCATTGATACAAAAAATGTGTGTCATATAGATAGGTTATGTAGAATATGCTTTGTAGATAGATAGATATGAGGAGACTGAGATAGATAGATAGATAGATAGATAGATAGATAGATAGATAGATAGATAGAAGGAGAATGACATAGATAGATAGATAGATAGATAGATAGATAGATAGATAGATAGATAGATAGATATGAGAAGTCTGTGATAGATAGATAAATAGATAGATATAAGGAGACTGGCATAGATAGATAGATAGATAGATAGATAGATAGATAGATAGATAGATAGATATGAGAAGACTGAGATAGATAGATAGATAGATAGATAGATAGATAGATAGATAGATAGATAGATAGATAGATAGATAGATAGATCCCTCGCTAATTCGCTGTTCTACTAGCGCGGACTCACGACTTCGCGGATTTTTAAAATATATATATGGAAAATATATCGTGGAATTTCTGGAAAATTCTAAAAAAATCGCGATATATGAACACCTAAAATTTCTCATTAAATCCATTAAAATATTAATAATAAACATTATTTCCTAGTTTAGAAACAACAAAACAAGCGTAAAATAGGAAAAAAAAAAACCAAAAAAACATATGCAGGGGTACTTCAACTTGTAACTCACGTGACAAAAAAAAAAGAACCATCTAGAATGCGATGTGCATACAGTAGCCGCGTATCCTGTTCTTGACAAAACGCTAAGCGTACCATCTCGGTGACGAAGTGCGTTGTAAGACGGGCTGTGATTGGTGCAATGGAAAGAGACGACGAATCACAGCTTTCTATTTTGTAATCTGGCCTGAGATTGGTGCTTTGACCGATGCTCATATCCACAGCATCTTCCCTTTTCTCTCTCTCTCTCTCTCGCAGCTATTTCGTTTCAATCTTTCTCGCGGTGCGGTTTACTATACTAATTTACGCTGTGCTGTGTGTATTTTTTTTTTTGTTTCTTTGCGTTGAACTTTGCGTTTTCCTTCCCTGCAATGGTTCCCAAGCGTGCTGCTTCTTTTAAGGCTGGTACTGAGCCTAAATTCAAACGAAGAAGATGATCGCTGAGAAGATGAAACTTTTGTATATGTTGAAGGAAGGGAGAAATTTTGCTGCCGTAGCCCGCCATTTTAGAGTGAACGAATCTACCGTTCGCTACATCGAGAAGGCCGAGGCTCACATTAGGAAGACGGTTGCCATCACCTTTAATAAGCCGGCGAAGAGAATGGTTAGGGCTCGTAATACAGCTATCATCCGTATGGAAGCTGCTTTGGCCGTATGGATAGCCGACTGCTGAAAGAAGAACATAGCCTTGGATACGAATATCATCCAAACAAAGGCTAGGAGCCTGTACGAGACATTCGTCACACACACACACACACACACACACACACACACACACACACACACATAATATATATATATATATATATATATATATATGAAAGTGAACTTAAACGATTGCATATAGCATGAAAGAGACTGTCGCCTCAAAGTGTTGACTTCTATGTTCACTTTTATATTTACACACGCTCTATCTCTGATATTGAGCACTTTATCCCATAAATATAGCACACCTTAAGACTATATATATATATATATATATATATATATATATATATATATATATATATATATATATATATATGAAATAATGTCGTTTTTGACTTTTAAAAAATAAGTTAAATAATGTCGTTTTTTACTTTAAAATTATTTTTGCACCATTGTTAATATAATATATATATATATATATATATATATATATATATATATATATATATATATATATATATATGGATATGGATAAGGAACCAAAGTGGCGACCACGAAGAAGAGGAAGAAGACGAAGACGACGTAGAACATCCGCAACCAGGGACGTCCAGTGATTCACAACCTAAAAAACGTCCTTTTTCTGTTAGCAAAATGATGGTCTGCTAAGTTTCAGAAATGCTTCGGCCTATGAAGTGTTTCCCTGCATGGCAAGGCTGCTTCTGCTGACACAAGCGTTGCTGAAACATACGTGAATGAAACTTTCAAGAAGTTTATCTCCGAAGGTGGACATAAGTTTTGAACAAGTTTTTAATATGGACGAGTCTGGCTTGTTTTGGAAAAGAACGCCGCCGCGAACTTTCCTGTACAAAGAGGTAGCAAAAGCTTCTGGCTTTAAAGCATACAAGGATCGTGTCACCCTCGTGATGTGTGGCAATTCTGCGGGATTTTTCTTAAAGCCAGGATTTATTTACAAGTCTAAAATCCCAAGGGCTTTAAAAGACAAAAACAAGAATCTGCTACCCGTATATTGGATGCACAATCCAAAGGCGTGGATAACGAAGATGCTGACCTTCGACTGTTCCATTAGTGTTTAGCCGAGGTGTATCTATTAGAGAAGGGCTTGTCATTCGAAATCATTCTCCTTATGGGACGCTGGTGGCCACGCTATTGATCTGTCCTAGTAAGGCATTCAGATAGAGTTCCTGCCGCCCAACACTATATTCAGCCAATGGACCAGGGATTTATCAAGGCGTTCAAGGCCTGTTACACGAAGAATGCCCTGGCAACTCTGGTTGCTTCTGTAGATGCCGCTCAAGAAGATGAAGACGAATATTTTAACTTGAACGCATACTGGTGGCAGTACACAATTGCTACGTGCCTCCAAAATATCCAGAAGACATTGCTAGAAATGAATCCTTCCACCATTACCACGAGCTGGAAGAATTTGTGGCCCGAGGTTATTTAGGACGACATGGGGATTTACACCTTACGAAATCCAACACTCCGCAGTACAGAAAGCTTTGCAGTTGGTTGCGATCATTGGAGGTGACTGCTTTGCAAATATGACCACGGGAGTCATCGACGAGTTATTAGACTGTCACTCCCAGACGCTAACCGACGCAGACCTTGAAGACTTGAAGAAGTCGGCCAGCGAAGAAGAAGAAACGCAGCAAGAAATGGAAGAAGTTGTCGACCAAACTGACTTGAATTTGGAACGGCTGGCCAAGCTCTGCAACCTGGCTAAAGAAATGAAAGAGGAGTCACAGGAATGGGACGACGATATGATTCGTTCTGTGCAATTTTGCAACAATTTCGACGATGAATCCCGACTAGATGCTCATTGAACGGGAAAAAAGAAGTAGTGGCAGCAATTTCTTATCACAATATTTTTGCAGCTTCGCAAAAAAGAGCCAGTTTCTGCTGCTACTACTACGGTTGCACTTTCGGAAGAAGTGGAAGAGGTATCCCAGGAAAGGGCATCGCCGTCTGAAGTGACGTAAAATACAATCATCGGCTCCACAGTAGAAGTCATCATCAGCTACACCAGCATCATTTCTACTGCGTATAATCATTCAAATTTTAATTCAACTTTCGTGTTGAATACAGTAACAATCTTTATTTTCTTTTTTAATCTAAAGTGTTATTGCTTAACAGCAGTGCTTGTTATTAATAGAGTACTGTAATGGGTGGGTTGTTAACAGTACAGGGGGGGGTTTAAAAGTCCAAATACACGTTAAATTAGTACTGTAAATATGGCGCCCATACTTCGAGGAAATTCAGTTATCGCGGCCAGTCTTGGAGCCAATCTACCGCGATAAACGAGGGAACACTGTAGATAGATAGATAGATAGATAGATAGATAGATAGATAGATAGATAGATAGATATGAGGAGACTGAGATAGATAATGAGATAGATACATAGATCATGGAAAGTTTAGATAGGTACATAGATCATAAAATGTTTAAGATAGATAGAGTGTTAATGAATATTCTTAAATGGATAGATTAATCATGAAATGTCGTAGACAAGAATAGGTCATGAAAAAAACTGTCTGACATATACATCGATAAATAGATAAAAACAGACATACAGCTCTATATATATATATATATATATATATATATATATATATATATATATATATATATATATATAGATAACTAGACTCGTTTCGAAAAACCCTCGAATTTTTGATTTGCTAATCAAATCAATCTCGAGAAAAAAAAAAAAGGTTTTAAAAAAAAGAAAGAGCTACAAACATGGACTTCTGCCGACAAAAAATTCGCACAGATGCAGGTCTGAAGCCCAAAAAAAAAAATCCCGATACGAGTAACAACTAACTAACAAAAAGAGCTCAATACAACCGTAGAGCAGACCTAGATACACCTAGTGAGCCAGATAAACCTACCTAGGTTTCACCTAAACTAAACTTTCCCTGACGATCCGTTTAGGTGAAACCTAGGTAGGTTTGTCTAACTCACTAGGTGTATCTATCTATCTATATATATATATATATATATATATATATATATATATATATATATACATTATCAGGTTGATAGATTGATTGATTAATAATGAAAGATTCCCATTAAATTGATTTTGC